ATCCTTGCAGTGACAGCACCGTGCCCCCATTTCCCCGCGTTCTGAGCTACGGCACTCCCACCTCCTCCTCCTCCTCCTCTTCCTCCTCCTCCTCCTCCATTGGCGGCACCAACCCGGACCCAAAGCCGCGGGAAGGAGCAAATGGAAAGGACCCAACGTTCCCCCCATCTTTCCTCTCTTAGGCACAACAGGAGGGGACCCAAAATGCTCCAGTAGTGCCATCCCTGTGTTGTTGTTCCTGCCCCCCCCCCTCCGTGCCCGCTCCGTCACAACACAGCGTTACGCAAGGCAGCACCCTCCTCAGGGCACAGCATTGTGGGGGGAGGACAGACCCCAAACCCCCCCCCCAGGGAGCACCTGGTGTTGCTTCCCAACCCCACACAGCCCCAATCTGTGGGGCTCACACCCAGCAGGGTGGAGGGGGGGGCACACACCCCTGGGGGGGGGCACAGAGCACCCGGATGTTGGCGAGCGCAACTCGGCACAGCACCCAGAATGGGGGGCTGCAAGCCACGGGGGGCTGCGAGCCAAGGGCTGCCCCCCTCTCCTCCCCCCCCCCAACCCCCCACCGCTGCCTCCTCCTCCTTTTCCGTCCTCTCCTCTTCCTCCTCCTCCTCCCCGCTGCAAACAAACACGGAAGGCACACAAAAGTCTTTGTTGGGCTCTTACCGGAGCGCCGCTGCCGTGCCCTGTGCCCCCCCCCCGGCGTCAATCCTCCATCCAAGCAACCCTTCCCTCCCCCCCCCGGCCGGCAGCAGTGGGGGGGCACCGAAGAATCTGCACAAAGAAAAGTTGTTGGGTCCGCGCTGGGGCTGCTCCAGGAGATGGTTTCCCTTCCTGGCCCAACGCCGCCCCACGTCACGGCCGCTGCGCGCGTTAAAGGCGCACGGCACCAAAACGCTGTGCAGGGATGGGTTCCGCACGCACGGCCAAACGCAGCCTCACAGCACGCGGTTCCGACCGCGGATCCCAAAGCCAGACCCCACAGCTCCACCCCAAAGCCAGACCCCAGAGTGCAGGTCCCAATCCCGGCCTTCGTGCCCAGACCCCAGATTCCACATCCCTCATCCCAGACCTCAAACCCGGACCCAGAGGCCAGGCCCAGATCCAGGCCCCACAACCCAAATCCTGACTCAAGGCCCCAAGCCCTGATCCCACATCCCAGGCCCAGACCCCCCCCCCCGGCCCCAAAGCCCCAGGCCCATACTACAGATCCAGACCCCAGACCCTGACCCCACACCCCAGCTCCAGCCCCAGATCCTGACCCAAGGCTCCAGGCCCAGACCCTGACCTCAAACTCTGATCCCATACCCCAGGCCCAAGGCCACAATCCAGGCCTCAGACCCCAACCACAGATCCTACATCCCACACTGTAGATCCCAGATCCAGAGCCCACACCCCACACCGACCTCAGGCCCCAAACCCCACACCCAGGCCCCAAACCCAGACCCCAAACCCTGACCCCAAATCTCACACCCCAGACCAACACCCCGACCCCAAACCCTGACCCCAAATCCCGACCCCAAATCCCAAACCCCACTCCTAGGCCCCATACCCAGACCCCTACCTCAAGCCCCGCCCCCTCCTTTTAGGCCCCGCCTCCTCCTTTTAGGCCCCGCCCTCCGCCGCCGGGATTCAAACGCCCCCTGCCGCCTCCCGCCATTGGTTGGCTCCGCGGTGACGTCGCATCGCGTGATTGGGTGCCGCGCCGCCCGAGTGCGGGCGGGCTCCGAAATCTCGGGCGCCGAGTTCAAAGTCTCGCGAGAGGCGCGGGGCACGCTGGGAGCGGTGGTGCTGTTGTGGGGGGGGGGCGCGTTGCCAAGGCAACGGCGGCGTGTGGGGCCGGGCTGTGGGGTCCTGGGGGGGGGGCACTGGGGTACGTGTGGGGTTATGTGTGGGGTTAGGGGCTTTATTAAGGCCAAGGGACACGCGTGGGGGCAAACTGAGGGCATTGGGTCCTGGTATCCAATGGGATGAAGGGATCTGTGGGGCTGTGGCGGGGCAAATGGGGCGGGCATCGGGGTCTGCACGGGGGAGCGGGTGGCTGTGGGCCATAGGGACAGCAGTGGGGCCTGGGGGACGGGCACGGGGTTGCCATGGGGTGTGGGGATGCGTGGGGCTGAGGGTGGGTGCTTTGGGAGGGGGGAGCAGGGCTCGCTGTAGGGCTGCAGTGGGGCCAGGCCCTATAGGGTGCGAACAGAAGGGGGCAATCAGACCCCACAGCCCCTTCAGTGAGCTTCTCTGTGCCCCCACTGCCAGGCTGGCCCCCGCCCCACAGTGATGCCAGCCCACCTGCTGCCCCCCGAGCTCATCCCCCCCCTCGACTTCTCCTTTTTCCCACTGCGTTCCCTGCAGGGTGAGTATGGACTGCTTCCCTCCCCCCCCTCTTTAACTCACCCCACATAGGGTGGGTTTGGGTTCTCACAGCCCTGCCACGCAGATCTGACCCCCACGGGCAGCCCTTCTCCCACCCTGGCACTCCGCCTGCCTTACACCGGACTGAGCAGCCTGGGGGGGCTGCACCCCACCCTGCAGCAGCTCCTGGCCAACCCCACACAGCTCCGTTGGCTCGACCTCTCCTTCAACTGCCTGACCACCATTGACCCAGTGAGTGGGACAGGGAGGAAGAGGGTGAAGCTCACAGCCCTGCAGTGGGGGCTATAGGGCCAGACCCTCAGTTTCTCCCCCCCCTCCCTACCCCCCCAATCAGGTGCTGACCACGCTGGGGGGGCTGCAGAGCATCTACCTGCATGGGAACACCATCAGCTGCCTGAGTGAGGTGGACAAACTGGGGGCTCTGAACCAGCTGCACCGCCTGACGTTGTATGGGAACCCTATGGAGGAGGAGAGGGGCTATAGGTAAGTAGGGGGGGGGCTGCAGATGGAACCCAGCCCGTCTTCCCCCCTTCCCACCACCACCTCACTGGGCTGCTTGTCCCACTGAGCTCCTCCCCACAGGCGCTACGTGCTGGCCTTGCTGCCCCAGCTCAGCACCCTGGATTTCAGTGCTGTGACCCCGCAGGAGCGCAGGGAGGTGGCTGTGTGGGGAGGCACCCACAGGCAGCCCCGACCCCAGCGAGCTTCACAATGAAAGGTGGGAGCAAAAGGGGGGGCACCCAGCCCCACTGTAGGGCTGCCCCATGGCACCCAGCCATAGCATTCTGTCATTTAGGGCACAGGCTTTGTGTCACTGGTGTCCCACCTGGGTTGGGCTGCTGGGGACAAGGCAGGAGGATGGGGGGGAAATGGGCTCACCCCCATGCTATCACAGTCACTTCTGGGCTGGGTTTATCTCAAAATTTAGGGCACAGCTTCTCCCCCACATCCTGGAGCCACCAGCACAGCCACATCACCGTTACCTGTCAGTACAGCCTGTGCCCACCCCGGGGCTGTGCTGAGTCAGAGATGAGGGGTCAGGAGGGGTGGGGGGGTCTTTTTTTTGGCAGCATCCTCCAGTCTTTGGGCAGGAGGAGGAGCAGCAGGTGCAGGGGGTGCCAGAAACCACCTGGGAGCACCGAGATGTTTGTAAGGGAGGGGGGAAAAGCAAATCCCATACAAAACTCCACCCCCCCTCCTCCCCAAAAAAAACAAGCCAAGAGAGCAGGTAATGAATGAACCCACAGCCACGCATCCCACTGCTGCCCGGTGCCCAGTGACCCAGTGGAACAGAGAGGAGGCAGGGGCGGGCTGGATGTGTTTATCTGTGGTGGCAGAAGAAGAATAATTAAAACAAAACCAAAAAGAAAACCATATAAACCAGGAGAGGCCGGAGGAAGCCATTGGAAGTTCTCCTCTGGGAGCATCCAGCTCCTGCCTGCCCTTCCTAGGGTATGGGGGCAATACCAGACCCCCAGCAATGAGGATGCAGCCCCCTCCCCACTGCCCCCCCATGCACACAGTGGGGAAAAAGCCACAGGGGCAGCGCTGGAGGGGGGGGAAAGTGGGGAGGTCAGTGAGACCGCCATCATTTTGTGGGTGATTGATAGGAAACGGGGCATATGTACAAGTTCTGTGCTGTGGGGATGAGGGGGGGGGAAATAAAGACAAAAAAAAAGGAGAAAAAACAACAACAACAAAAAAAGCCAACGAAACAAAACCCCGACCCGGTGAAGCTGTGCTGGGTTGGGCTCAGGGGATGCCAAACTGTACAACCAGTTCTTCTTTCGCGTCGACGCGGATCTGTGAGAGAGCACTGAAGGCGTAGGCAGCTATCCGAGATACCTGGGAGGGGGGAGAGGGGTGAAAAGAGGGGGTCAGCACAAGTTGGGAACGCCTGGGGTCGAAGGGTTGCGATGTGGGAGGGCTGCTCTCACTCCTCACCTGCTGCAGGTCTGCAAAAGGGACGGGCTCGCTGGCCAGCACCTGGTGTGGTTGGTTGGTGAGCGATGGCAGCAGTGGGAGCTTTTTCCAGTGCGTCAGGCTGTTGCTCAGCATGGCCAGGCGTGTGCTGGAGGGTGAAACGTGGGTGTTTTCAGCTCAGGAAGGGAGTGGGGTGCTGGAGAGAAGCACCCAACCCCCCCCACACCCCCAAAATGGTTCGCAGACCCACCTGTACTGCCGGGCTCTGTCCATGTACTCGTGCTGTTCCATCCCCTGCGAATCCGCTGCTGACACATCGATGATGTTACTGCAGAGACACGAGGGTCACGTTGGCTATCAGGGAATGTTTCTTCCCCAAACAAGCGGTGATGCATTGGCACAGGGAGTGGCAGAGTCACGGCCCGTGGAAACGTTTAATACTGTGGCACTGAGGGACACACTTTGGGTGGCTGAAAATCACGGAGGTGTTTTCCAACCACCGTTCTCTGACACGACCTTGGCCTCACAGTGTTGGAAAAGACCCCAAAAAGCTCACCCAGCACTAAACCCTCAGTGCCACATCCCAACATCCCCCCCTCCCAGTCACAGAAAGGCCAGGGTTGGAAGGGACCTCAATGACCATGAATCTCCAACCCCCCTGCCACATGCAGGGCCACCAACCTCCCCATTTAATACCAGCCCAGGCTGCCCAGGGCCCCATCCAACCTGGCCTTGAACACCTCCAGGGATGGTTGGGGCATCCACAGCCTCTCTGGGCAGCTGTTCCAGCACCTCACCACTCTCTGAGTAAAGAACTCCCCCCTGACATCCAACCTAAATCTCCCCTCCCTCAACTTCAAACCGTTTCCCCTCAACCCAAGCCTCCATTTGGAGTCCACCAAGGGATGGTGACTCCACGGCATGAAGAAACTCTCCTTGATATCCAACCTGAAGCCATTCCTTGCATCCCCCACTCACTCCTGACTTAAAAAGAGACTGACATATCTTTCATCAGCTTCTTTCAGGGGATAACAGGGCAACTCAGCCCTCTTTTGCCCACGCTGAACAACCCCACTTCCCTCCCATTCTCCTGGCTGGTTTTCCCAATCCTTCACTGCTCCATTGCTCTTCTTTTCCTCTCTTGCAGAGAGGAGCCCACAACAGAGCAGGCAGCTCGAGCTGTGCCCACCCCTGAGGGCTTACATGGCCGTTTTGGCGAGGATGGAGGACAGCATGGCCTGCTCGTCGGTGCGGGCTGAGGGCAGGCTGTGACAGCTCTGCTCTGCTCCATTCAGTGCCTTGTTGGGAGGGCTGGCTGCCGGCTCCAGCAGCCGCTTTGTCTCTTCTTCCTAAGAGAAAGAGTCAGAGAATCGTGAGAAGGAGCAGAGAAAAAACAGGCTCTGCTTCCCCGCTTACCCCCGGCTCCTCTTCCCCGATTCCTTCCCACCTCACAGCACTGCTCAGATCCCCCAGGAGGGGTCAGTAAACACAGCAGCTCCCTGCCCACCCCTGGTTACCCACGGTGCTCAGCTCACGTCCCGTTCCTTGGGGTCCTCAGACCCTTCCCCACCTCCACAGCCCCCCTCTATTCACACCGGATGCTCTCCAACAGCTTGATGTCATTCTCACCTTGTGGCACCCAAACCTGTGTCCAATGCTCCAGGCCCCCTCTCAGACCCTACAGTTCCACACTGACCCCCACAGAGCCCCCCATCCCACACTGACCCCCACAGACCCCCCCTATCCCATACTGACCCCTACAGACCCTCCCACAGACCCCACTGTCCCACACTGACTCCTACAGACCCCCCCCACAGACCCCACAGTCCCACACTGACCCCTACAGACACCCAAACAGACCCCATAGTCCCACACTGACCCTCAAAGACCCCCGTCCCACACTGACCCCACAGTCTCACATTGACACAGATCCCCTCACAGACCCCACAGTCTCACATTGACA